GAATAGATTTCTGTCATTAGTGGGTTTATCTAATGTTATAATGAAGGTGTGACTAAGGATACTCAGCATGAGGTAACAACAAATAAAGTGGGGTAGAGTTAAGAGTTGGTAAAAGCAACGAAATGGGTAGGATATTGAGTCGATCAGCTCTAACATTCTGTGTGTGTTGGTCTCGTGCTAACAGGATGTACAATGAGAAAGAACGGGATTCTCAGTATATGAGAAAATTGCAAGACTACTTGTCTGTCTATTTCGATATGAATTTTGACCTCGACGAGTTCTTTCCTGTTAATTGCTCCAGCACTCCACAATGACTCGTTACCTGCGTGTTGACTTAGTAGTAACTGCATGGTCTTTAAGACTAGTTAAAATAGCTGGAGCAGGCTGCTAACATTTCTCAATGGTGAGAAGGGCATTTCATTTTATGACCATCATGCGATTATTACAGGGTGTCCTATCACACTAGGGTCAAAGAATATGGGCCGTTTAATTCACATCAGCCGTAGGTTTGCTCCAACAAATCCTCCCACGCGATTGAAAAGGCGACGCCAGCACATGCGCATTCTAATCATATATCTACAACAGTAGGTTAGGGAAACCAAGCGCCTGCCTGGCCGTAAAACCAAACACAAGCATTATGCCGCGAATAAACTCTAATGTATTACTCTGAGTAGACAGTATTGCTGAATAGGCGGTAGCGTACCCGACCCGTCGTCAGCCATACGGAACCTTCACTGAAGGAACACGCCGCTAACCTGTGTGGATTATCAATAGTGGGAGGTTTCTAGCATGCATAGTAACTGTAGAAAACCTCATGCAAATAAGTCCGACTGAACTAACGCTTATTTACTCCGCAACCGTAAAACCGAGTGCGATGCTACACTAGACGGTGTGACTGCTCTATCTGGCTTCGCTTATTGAAATGTTTCGAGCTAGACATTTATTCTATCCACCGGGGGTGGTGTATAGACTGCCTACAAATCCCCAGCACGCATCATAGTCAAGAGCTTCTCAACTTTGAATAAATGCATCTAATATATCCATCTCGAATGTTCTTTCAAAAAAATAAGTTAGGCTACAATACAGGTGGAACCAAAATACTGCCAAAGCATTTCATGGTATTTGTATGATAACCGAATTCAGAAATAACAAGATCACTCACTACATATCACTTCTGTCTTTCTCTTGCACCCCGCACACATATTACCGCATTATGACGAAAACAAACTCGAAAAAGTCAATAGCTTTATTACGGTTAACACAGTAACAGAAAGTCCACATATCTTATTGGATTCATAGCCCCACCATCTGTTGATCCCGATCGTTTATTGCAGCATCCGTCAGTCATTCAGCATACTTTTGTATGTTGTGATATATTTTCGAAATAGGCTATTGTCGCTACCAAACATGTAGCCATTTATTATCTGAAATGACTGCTACTGGTAACAATTCAAAATGCTCACCTATAAAGAAAAACAGAAATTACGTCTTTGTGAATTATCCATTATAAAGTAAATGGGAAAATACCAAAATATTCTGGTGAATGCATGCATTTTAAGGTGCAGTAGGTTTTTAATATTATAATAAGTACAGAGACAAATCCAAAATACATGAAAACAAGTTGATTCCGCGAAAAAGCGAACACATCTTCCAATACCACTTATCTTTAATGCCGATAAGATACAAAAGGTAATGTAGCAGTGTATCCGTGTGTACGAAGAGTCAGTAGATATATGAAATTCAGTAGCTGCCAGGCATGAGTGTCCGCAATACAACGGTATAAAATACGAGCTACAGAATAGGAACAGGGCTAGTATAAATTAAGGAACAGAGCAAGTCAACATAAAAAGGATAATTGACCGTTCTTAATTGATTCACTCTTTCATAACTGCTTCACAAAATAACCTGGAATCACAAAAAATAAATGACTTAGTGTCAACTAGTTATTTAAGGCGTTAAATACTTGAAGGCATCAATTTTGCGAGAAACCACGTATCCTAGTCTGTGGACTATACAAAGTTGATGAAAACCAAATAAATAAAGACAAGGAGTGAATAAAATGTGACGACTAGGGAGTGAAAGTTCAAAACGTTATGGACGAGACAGAAGAAGCTTTCGCTTAACGGGCTTCCGTATCTAGTAGCAGTGGATCGCCGATACCTCCAGGTAGGAACCTAGGCATGATTAACGATAACTGAGGAAGAAGGAATTAGTGTATTATAGTAAGATACTGTTATTAGTTTTCTCTAAAAGTCGCTCGCACTAGTTCACCCGAATTCTAGCATTTAATTATTCTGAAGGAGTAGGTGTGTCTACAGTCGGTTCTGCTGTTATGTTTCCAATTTATGAGTATTGCCTTTAGGTTTTGTGTTGAGACTAAGTTCAAGGGGATGCCAAGAAGTGTTTACGAAACTTTATGTCATTAGGTCACCTTTAAGATGCCCGTACTCTAATAGGTAAATGTTTAGTGACTGAAGCCTTTCATAAAACATGAATAAATTTATTAAACACGAAGAAACATAAAGAACGTTAGAGATTGAAAATCAATAATCCCAACGTTCTGCTTAAAAGCCTGGTCCTTGAGTATATCCTCCGGAAACGCTAGGTCAGTACTATTGAATAAAGCCATTAATAATAATAGTCAGTACTATCGGAGGGGGGGGGAACGTAGGAACTAGTCACCATTAATTGCTGGAATATCTAAAAATATAATTCCCTCTTTGAAGTCCCATATTTATTCGGACATCAACTATTCTGTCTGTTCGTTCGCACAAAGAATATGACTTGAAAAAGAATGAATTCCCGAAACAAAAAGCATGGAACTTTAAAATCGAATTGAAGTTTACAGTATCTGAAGATACTGCTCTGCGAGGAATCAATCAGTCACAACATAGAACTTCGTACGTACGTACATCAGTTCGAGTTGCCATACCACATTAGCACAGAGATGAAGTTGTCGATTCAAATCTCATAGTGGTAGAAGTAGTAAGAATATAAGCATTATGTGAAAGATAAGGATTTGAAGATATTATTGAAGGAGCGTAATACAGTGAAATAAATTTGGAAAGAGAAAAAGGATAGGGACATGAGGAATTCAGAAGATTAGGATTTGGTAGAACACAAAGAGTGGATGTACCTTCGCCATTGCAAACGATTTTGAGACATGTCATTCAAGGTCTCTAACCATCGGTTGCTATCATCTCGCGAATCCCAACCAGGTAGTCTACACCTACCAACATGGCTCAGTCCACTTGTCAGTGACTTCATGGAAACGTTTTGGTCTGGCCCCCCTTAGCTTTCTTCCAACCCACTACTACACCACAAAACAGGAATGATTAAACATAATTCCTATGAGTTGATTTTGTAGATCGACAAAAGATTGTGTTAATTTCTAAAAGGTTTTGCTAGGACTGTTATTGTTGACATCTCTTTATTAGAACACTCACATTTACCACTCAATAATACTGCTTCATTCCAGGGACGAAGTTGATAAGTAAAAGAGAAAACCGGTCGCTATTTAAAAAGGACAGTGGTATTTTTACTCGTTGAGTAATTTCTATTGTTCTGGTCGTTATTAACGTATCAAGACTACTATTTATACTTTGAACGTATTTCTTTCAGTTAAAGTATTCGATTGGAGTATCATTTTTGCTTTCGAAATGGTTTTATCATCGGTACTATAGAGTACCTCGTTTTTTTTAATTGTGTCTGTTAGAACTTTGGTCCTAACTATTTACAGTTTTTCTATTTTTTGGTCAAAGACCACTTTTTCCTCCTCAAATGACTGGAAGGTGCAATAAAAAAATTTGCCAGCGTCCAGGCTGTCGATATCCCGTTGACAGCGACATGCAGTGCGACGAGTGCAACGGCCGGTATCACGAAGTTTGCACAAATATAACATCTGCGGCTTTTAAACGGTTCAGTAAGAATGGTTGCATATGGCTATGTCAACAGTGCTGTCTGGATGCAAACAGCATGTTACCGAGGCCCTCTCAATGGTCAATGCTGCGAAAAAGTGTCTCGGCAAGCGTGGTTGGGACACGTCGGTCAGAATTCGACACGCAGATTGGAAAGGGTTCAGAGAACAGCAACTAAGCTGATTACCGGAATAGCGAAGCTCCCGTATGGTACTAGACTGACCAAGCTAAACCTATTTCCGCTGTCATATCGAAGAATCGGAGGCGAGTTGATTACAGTTTTCAAATTGTTTAGTGATAAATTTGCACCTGATATGCCCTCATTTTTCTTGTCTCCCAAAACAAAAAATTTATGAGGATACTCCAAAAAGGTTCACAAGCCCAATACGAATTACTTGTCAGCTGACTACCGACTTTCCCATCGAATCATCAACGAGTGGAATTCATTACCTCAGCACGTGGTTGAGGCTCCAACCGTCGACTGTTTCAAAAGAAAGCTGGATCAGCTGAAAGACCATCATTGCCAGGACTTACACAGGCCATCAAGCTTCCTGCCCTTTCCAAACTGAAACGTGCACAAGGTCACTGGACTTTGGGGATTTCTCCCAAAATAGGGAGATCGGGACACTAGAAAAAAACAAATACTAACTGATGTAGCCCTAACATACACCCGGTTTGTAATCTGCAATCTTTCGTTCCGTAGAATCTCGTAATACGCAACAACTACATTTAGATAATATCTAGCAGAATAGATCATCAGGTCCTTCTAATTCGCAAGGAACAATGCTAAAGTCTTGCTCTACATAAAATATCACTAGCGCTTATAATTCAGCTGAAGCCTATCGTAACATCCCCAGCTGTACAACATAATTTTGAAAGTAAAAGGGGATGTGGATGCTACGACACTTCAAGTAGAAAATGATAAAACAAACAAGAATATGAATGAGATAGCAGTTCCTTAAAGTCAGCGTGTCGCTAGAAAAAGCCTTATTCTTTAAAACTGTCCTCGTGCGATGCGGAAATAAGAGAATAAGCAACAATAGACTTGACACAACGACCTTGTACCAAACGACAATGACATAAGGAAATATTTGATTGGACAAAGTCAACACTGAATTCTAATTGGGTGATATGAAAATCATGGAACTTCGTGGTCTGATAAATATTATAGTGGTCAACTGAGAAGCAACGTTTTCTGTTCTCGTCTCCGTGTGGCAAGTTCGACTGCAGGATTGGTTATGAGTGCTACGGTGGCTGTCCCGATGAAGAAGGCAAAGTCGTCGAAAACGAAGACGCCAGCTAGTCACCCGCCAGTAATCAACATGATTACAGCGGCAATTTTGGCAGTTAAGGATCGTAAGGGCAGCTCACTCGCTACAATCAAGAAATATATAGCCGCGAATTACAAGTTTGATGTCGAAAAGCAGGCAGCACATATTCGCCGTGGCATTGTGCATGGTGTTGAGAAAGGTGCTCTTATACGGGTTGGAAATAAGGGTAAGGGCGCATCTGGTAGCTTCAAAGTAGCTGAAAAAAAAGTTGCTGACGCCAAACCCAAGGTTGTTAAACCGAAAACTAAAATGCCTTCTGCTGTTAAACTCAAATCAACTCCCAAAAAACCCAAGGAAAAGAAGGTCACTAAACCGAAAGTTAAGACTCCGAAGAAGCCAAAAGCTGCCGTGACGAAGAAGCCAGCAGCTAAGAAGCCGAAGACTCCTAAAAAGACTGCGACTAAAAAGGTGGCTGCAAAGAAGAAGTAATGTGGTTTGATGGTGCCTGTATAGGTGCTGCTACTACGGAGAACGTGACAACGGCCCTTTTCAGGGCCAATCACCAATTGGTTTTTATTTTCGTTTGTTTATCATTGTGTGCGATGATGGCCTACATGACGGCGTAGTGTGTCAATTGGATGAGTCGTCTGTCACCTCATGAAATATCGGGTTTCTCAACTGCAAAGTCGGTGCGTAGTCATAAGTAGTGTGCGCATTAGTATCTACCCCACCTGGGCGTGTTGCTGGTAGGGATAGGCTTATTCATGATGTGGGTCGCTGGCAGGAATAAATCGGTTGGCTATAGTTAGCACTAACTTGATGAGACTTAAACTACGTGTTATCACATCCCGCTTATTATTGCCGTTCTAAAAACGCTAGGCATCAGCACATTCGGTCTGAAGTCTGAATGTTTTTATTAGTGGTCGCTAACACAACTAGATTTCGAAATTCGTGGGGGACATATGTATTTAATACTTGTTATCTGGGATCGGATATTGGTGCTTCGTCGTATGTGCAATGTTTGGGGTTAGGAATGTAGATTTGTCCCTTGAAAACATCCGGCTACTCGGGACGTTGTTCCAATGGTTAGAATGAGTATCTTCAAGACGATGAGATGAAAATAAGTGGGTGTTAATGAACTGTGGAATGATAGTTAGGCGCGATTATTGTGTTGACCTGCGGAGACTTGGTTGATTTTCCACGAGTCAGTCAACTACCGATCCAAGTTGCTATACCTCATTAGCAAAAGACACCGAGATCATAGAAATAGTTAATTTAGTGGTGGTAATATGTAAAACAAAGGCTGTGTATGAGGATATAGTACACGGAGACAGGTGTTGAGCAATTATGAAGGAATATAAAAAGTGTATACACCTGTTCCATATTGCTAATGAGAGTAAGCTTTTCCGAATAATAAAAGAAACCGTGAGTAAATCTTGAAATGGAAACAAATGATAATTATCGAAGTTTATCAAAGGGACTAATTGCTTTAAATAAGAGTTAGGTTAACAAACTGAGGTTACACGAAGGTAGTTGTAGAAACGAGGCTTAACCAGATGTTTGGGAAGATATAACAACAGCAGGTTGATGAATAGCCAGTGAATCGTCGCAATGATTGCACTGGTAGACTATTGTTAACTGGTCCTATCAGGTTCCGAACAGGATGAAGGACGGAAACAAATAAGATCTAGGTTGACCAAGAGTCTGAGAAACAATCGTTAGCAGTGGTGAGTAACGAAAGCAAAAGGGATGGAAAAGGTAGCAACTGTAGGTAACACAAGATAGCTTTTCAGACTAGTTAGAGGAACCGGAATTAAGAAGTCAAGTGTGAGACAACTCGATAAAGTAGGACACAGTCCGGACATTTGGATCGATGGGAGAAAACTTCGAGGAGCAGTTCGGCTAGTTTTCATCTACTCTACAGCTACCCACTACTCTCAAATAGCCTGAATGGAACATTGAAGTAGGCCATCTGAAGTTCGAAAAGCCCTAAGTAACCTGAATGAAGAAGAGCAGCTAGTTTAGAGGGACTGGCTGCAAAGGTGTTCAGTCATGCTGGTCCTGTTTTCACGGTTAGGTTGACTAATATTTTAGCCAAGATCTAGAAACGGAATGTAATTCAATCTGACTGGTCGCAATCACTGATCGTCCCATTATATAAGAAGTTCAAAATCGTCCTGTGATAACCATGGAATGATTAGGTGTATAATACTGAAATCTAAAACAGTATCGGGCGTCTAACGAAGACTCGTGAACTGCAAACACGAGAAAATCAGACTGGCTTCACACCTGGTTGCGGCTATATCGACCACATATTATCCATCCCTCAAATTTTAGAACATGCTTATATATGCTTACTGGCGTCCGACGATGATAGTTATTCTTGAATTCAAAGCTGCATTTGACTGTTGACCGAGAGGTTCTATGACAGTGTATGTCATTGAAAGGTGTACCTCAGAAGTAGATAAACCTTGTGAAGGCTTTTCACTCGAACATTACTGGTCGAGTCAGAACCTATGTCAAACTGTCATTTGATTTTCCAACTTCAAGTGGTGTCCGGAAAGGCTGTCCACTATCTCCATTTTTGTTTAATTGCATTTTAGACCTACTGTTGGGAATGACACTCTTATCGACTTGATTTTCAGGATGTCCACTCATCGACTTAGAATACGCAGATGATACAGTTCTATTTGGTGAAGACGCTGATAAAATGCAGAGTCTTCTGTTAAAACTGAGTAATAATGCCAGGATGTTTGGGATGCGTTTCTCCCCCTCTAAAGGTAAATTATCGCTCCAGGATTGGCCTGCGTCAACACCTGAACTAAGGATAGGGAGTGAAGTAGTTGAACACGTGGACAATTCTGCATAACTTGGAAGCCTGGCCAGCCCTAATGGGTTGGTGTCTGACGAATTCAAAAAGTTCGTTTGGCTTTTGCCAATTTACGTCACCTATGGCGAAGACAAGATATCCATCTATCAATTAAGGGACGAGTATACTGAACAGCAGTTTGCTCTGTTCTGCTTGACGGCTGCGAAACCTGGCCATTAAGAGTAGAAGATACTCGCAAGTTACTAGTATTTGACCACAGATGCATTAGAAACATTTCATGCATCAGCTGAGATCACCAGGTAAGTAATAGAGAGGTTAGACTCAGGGAATTAGAGAATGATGGTAAATCAGTTGATGACCCGATCTTCCTATTTTGGAGAAAATTTTATCCGTTTTGGGGAAGCTGCTATAGAAAATTTTGTGGATATGCCACAAAAACCCCGAAATTTCCCAGATCTGAGGAAATTTTCCAAAACGTTGGGGAAGACCATTGGAATTTGGGGAAAACGCCAAGATAGGCAGATTGGGGAGGTTGTAAATCTACATCGACTGAGGTAGTTTGACCACGTGTTACGTATGTCTGAACACCAATTATCACAACACGCAATGCTGACTAGTGTTGGAGACAGATAAAAAAAAGTTGGCGGAGGCCAAACCAAAACGTGGCACCAGTTCATAAAGTCACTAATTTATAGTCTCTGTCATGTTGGTAGATGCAGACTACTTGGTTAGGGTCCGCGCGACTATCTTAACCAGTGGTTGGATACTCTGTGCGACATGGTTCAGAATCGATCACAATGGCGTAGGTGTATACACTCTTTGTTCTTCCTTAAACCGTAAGATTAAAACTACTTCATACCTTTGTTTCTACGAACTAATTCCTTCTCCCTGTATTATATCCTCATATGAGATCTTTTCCTATTACCATTGAAGTAACTGCTTCTATGAATTCGGTGTTCATCTTGTTGTGCTAATGAGGTGTGGCAGCTTATACTGATGCATATATGTGCCTGATCCCGCGTTGTAGCCGATTGACTGAGGGTCGGAATGTCATTCTTTCTGTGTATACCTTGGTTTGTTTGCAAAATCAACAGTAGTTTAAATAGCTACCTAAAATAATTCATATCCCTCTGAGCTCATAATCGAACAAGGTTGTAATTTTACGAAGCAGTCAATTTATTTTCGCCTTTCCACTCGATTTACGTCCTGATTTAATTTTATTGGAAGACAAAGGCATCCAATTATGTCGGCTCTTAATATCTCTATCTACTTTACTACATATCAACATGACAACTTTACTGTCACTTAGTACTTTACATTTAGAACGATGGTAATATGGATCAGTGTTTTTGTTACGTTTTTATTAGCTTCCATCAACTATCTATAACTGTTGCTCGGAAATGTCCCACACATTTACCCACTGTAGGCATTAAGTCGTTCGTTTGATTCATCTCTTATTTGGTTGTAAGTGAGTTTGACGCTTGTCATTATTAAGAAATCAGGGTAGGTTGTGAAGTCCATAGGACTCAGTTGAGTCGTTAAAACCACATACGCACATATATTTGGTGCCCCCTTGTACCAAAATTAATGTGTTCAAATAAAATATATAAAATTCACTTACCGCGATCTATCTTTATCAATGGATTCGCGTAATCAAAGCTGTACTCATGACTTTTATCAAGCTGGTTCTTCTCATTAGAGGACCTAAATGTAAGTATGAGGTATTTGTATCCAATTTTTTCTTTTAAAAATTGTACGTGACAATCGCATGAACATTTATTTCATGTATATTATTGTGAGTCATGGACTTCATATGAATATTCATACATAAAATTTCAGATTCAGATACTATGTTTAAATTGACGGTAGCAGCTCAGTTTCTAAGTAATAAATAAAACATGTATGTGGGATCAAGTGTATTGCAGGCTGTTTTAAAGAAAAATATACCTAGAATTTGTTATGTCCCGATTACTTTGTCAACAAATGACATGAACGTGTTAATTAAAAATTATGTTGCACTGATAATCTTTCAGTTTTATATTTTTGTTTTCATATTCATTATCCAGTCTCCGATTAATCAGGTCGTTATGGACGCCTTTCGATGAGAATGAACACAATATTGTTTTTTTTTTTTACTTCCCAAAAACCCATTGTAGTAAGTATAACTTAATCAACTGGTCACACCAGTTAAAAGATAATTTTTCTCCTATAAGAGAAACTCATAAGTCTGATTCCTAATAATATAACGAGTGATTTAAATTCATAACAGCAGATAATATAAGTGTTGATATTTCCAGACTGGTCTGTAATCAATGAATTTTAGGTTTAGAAAAAACAACTACAAAAATTTAGACTTATAGGATGCGTTTTAAAACGCACAACTGTGTTATTATGAAGTAAAACGAAATAATAGGTTATGTTTATGCCTTTTAGTTAATAGTATTCTCACTATTAGAAGTATTTTTAAGGTAATTTTAGTTACAAAATGACATTAGAAGCAGAATTATTGAAACCTTTTTGGCCCTAAATCTGAGTCCATTTTCATCGTGTAGCTGTAAATAATCCCCCAAAATCAATAGCTTTTTAAGTGTTCGACATTGGATGCTGACCACATTAGTTTTAGTGGACTTGTTTAGCTGAAGGCGATTGAAATATACATGTCGTCAATCCTCGTATATAATTATCGACCTAACTCGCGTTAGTAAATAAACGGAATTAAATAAGTCAAATACGAGAATGGATTTCGAATACATATATTTCATACAATCGTTGATCCAGACAAACGATAGGAGAAAAGAAGCGAAGACATGAGAGTGAAGCGAAAAGACACGCTGTGGAAA